TCGCTCGATCTCTCTCTATCTCTCTCTCTCTTTCTCATCAAACCGCTGTCCCTGAATGGTAAACGATAACGTCAGAGGTGCACAGCGTGCATAGAGAGAAAGAGACGGAGAGAACGCGCACGAGAGAGATCCGAAGCGTGAGATAAATGTCGGAGACCTCCGTGATGGCAGAGGAGCCGACTGACGTCGAATGACGTGGCTTCATTAGCACCTATGCATAGGTGCATAGCCGAATAATAGTGATCACAGCAAACGCGAGCCTTCTCATTATGAAACGGTAGATACATACAGTGTGAGATACTTGAGTGGTTCCATCATTAGCAGGTATAGTGTGTCACACATGTGTGGCATGTATTAACTTACAGTATTTTCCATATTTTAAACAATATTACTCTGATAAATTTAAATAATTAGTTTTATACATTTAAATACAAAAGTTTAAAAAAATATAAAATAATTTTCTTTGTGCGAAAGAATATATATATATATTTTTTTTTTTTCCGCGCGAATAAAAAATTCATGAGTTATAATCGAAGCATCTAAAGAGCAGGAAAACTCTTATTATGGTGATTATTTAAATATTCTGCAAATGATTTTAGCGTGAATAACACTGCTTAACATGGTAGAGCGATTTTCATTACAAATTCAGAATTATAATGATTCACGCGATTTTGCGAGATTACGATTTATTTTCGCGACTCACAAGTCAGAGCCGATTTCGCTCGTAATTCGTTCGAGCCGTTGCCGTTCGTTCAGTTCCCAGAGCGCTCATTTGACTCGACCCTGAACGAATTTACCGTTTCGCACTAGGAAACGGTGTAGAGAACTTTTACGGTAGTAGATTTTTTTGCAAAGTCAGCGAGTCCGTCTTTCTGATACGGACAATGCATCGCAGTAGAGAGAGAGCTCATATATTATTAAAATATATTTTATAATTAAAATAAAATATTATTAAAATATAATATTATATATTCTACAATAATAATCAACAAATGATAATTAATAATCAATCACTTGTTAAATTTCCAAATGTCATCAAATGTAACCGTATATTTGTCTATTAAAAATATTTAACTTAAAATAAAGATCGCCTATTATTTCTCGGCATTAAATTCGAGTTTTTCAGATTTTTCAAACGCATGAAATATATACATACATATGTGTCTTCCAAAATATAATACGCATAGAGTTATCAATGTACGAAAATTGGGGAAAGAGAGGGACGTGGAAACGCGAGGAAGATTGTAAGATTCGCGAGTGGTCCGCGCGATTCCTCTCTTACCGAGGAATACATATATACTTACATATAGCGCGATCGGGGGCAACGGTTGTTCCAAGGTCTCGGGTTCAGGCGCGAGAAGCGTTGCCGCGCGCTTCCTCCCGCAACGAGCAGCCTCCGTTCTCAGAATAGTTGGCAGCTCTCCCGAGCGCGCTTGACATCTCCGCTCGGCCTTCGCCTCGGTCGCGAAATCGACACGGGCCGGAGGTGTAAAGTGACCGAGCCTCGCACTCGTTACAGTATATTATGGTCCATGCGAGCGGATCAGAATCATTACGCTAAATCCAAATAAAAGCGCGGAGGAATAAAAAAGTTTTTCTGGCTAAAAAAATTGAAAAAATATACACGATAATGCGCAAAATGAACCGTCGTTGATTTTGACAGGGATTGCGCGATCAAATGTCTTATATATAGGTATTTTAAACAGCTATGAGAATCAGCGTTTATTATCCCGTTTTACGTCTTACAAAGTTGTCGCAATTATCGCGATTGCCGTGCTACGAGTGTGCGACAACATTGTGGCATTTAAAGGAAAAAAAGATGCAAAGAGAAAAACGTCCCAGGAGAGGAGGCGGTGGATCGAATAGAACGACGGCCGCGTGTGGTTGCACTCGGTGGAACGTGGAGGTGGACGTGGCGATCGAGGTCAATGGTTGGTCCAAGGTCTCCGGTTCGAACTCAAGTTCGACGCAGCGCCGCGTCGTCGTTTCCTGCCGACGTAGACAGCCTCCGTTCCTAGAATAGTCGACGACGACGAGCTCGCGAGGTCGTTCTCGCGGATCCGGTGCTTCGGCGTGAAAATCCGGGAAACGTTTCCGCGATTATCGACGCGTTCTTCGCGAGGTGCGAGACCGGATATGCGTCGAATCGAACCTTCTTCGATAGATGCAGTTGCGGCTTAGCTACAATCAGGGATGATAGCCTATGAGGGAATTTAAAATAAATTCTACAGAGAAGAAAATAAATGTGCTTTCTTCGCGTTAAAAAATGCAATGGGAGTACACTATAAGAATAATTTATACCTTAATAATGTCATTTTAAATTGTGATTTATAGATTTTAAAGAAGAACTTAGAAAAATTGAACTTTCAACTTTAAAATAAATGATGCAAGCGGCATTAAAAAACATGTTTTCTTGCTTAGAGTTATCCTCGTTGATGCTGTTTCGATTTGTCTCGCAATATTTCGCAACCCGTCTATACAATTGCAAAAAGCGCGCGACCATGCGAGCGCATAAATCCGCGCGCGTCGCAAAAACTGACGGGATTCGTGCGGAATAAAAAACGGCGGGGGCCGGGAACGCAGGAATTACGAGCATCGCGGTGCACGCGTGTCCGATGAAACCGACTCGGTGCGTGCAAACATCATAATCCCACAATAAGATCGCGTCTGATTTATCTACCAATAAAAGCTTATTGGAAACACGTGTTTTAGGATGCCGCTGCCAAAACCGGTCCGACCGATGTGATGCGATGCAATGCGAGGAGAAAGAGAGGGAGAAAGAGAGGGTGAAAGGTAGAGAAAGAGAGAGAGAGCCGTGAATCATGCGAGCGGTTTTAAATCAGACACGGTAAAGTCGTTCCGTTCTGACCCGTGAGTAAGGCACTGTGTGCCTGCCAAGCAGAGACCAACCAACCGTATATTGCATCCATTAGATTTTGCTATCATTTATTAAAAAAGAAACTGATAAATTGTCACTAGTTTAAATAGTTGTGACTTTCCATTTCGACTAGCATTTTATCAGAATGATATATATTACAAATAACGTTATACAAAATCTTTAAATAGAATATTTTTATTAAAATAATATTTTTACAAAAAGTTTCGTACACAATACATATACATATATGTTCAACAATAATACTGAGAGATGTTATTGAGACCAATATATTATTAGCATATATGTTAATAATTATTTAAATAAATTATAAATTGCAAGAAATATTTACATTATAAATCACATTGTAAATAACATTACTTATATTATAATTTACAATAAATATTTGATATGTAATATTACGATAAATATTCATAAATATATTGTGTAACTATTGAATCGAGCAATATTGCGAGATCGACGTGCGAGCCGATATTCTGTAGCGGTTCTTTTACGAGCGGATCCATCACGGCTCTTTATAAGCCCTTCTGGGCTCGCGTTTCGAAGGTGTCGAAGCGACGATACATCGATAATGTTATTTATATTATTATACGATACACCGATAAAGGTACAAACGTGTCCGAACTTAAAGCATCGGCAGTGCACCTCGATGTTGCAGTTTGCGACAACGATAGCGGCGAGTTGTGCAGCAATTCGACGATATCGCCGTGAGATTACGATAAAGAAATCGCCTCGTTACTTGCCGTATTTCGTGGGGTACCGTATCTCTTGTCGTTTTGAACACGCGCGATCGCGAAAATGCAACTTGTGAGAAAAACGTTTGATTTTCTAAAAAATTGAGAGTAACCGTCTTTCTGATACGGACAATGCATCGCAGTAGAGAGAGAGCTCATATCAAATGTTCAAAACCTTCTCATGCTCGGCCTCTCCCGGGTTTTTTATTATGTCACGGATTTTACGCTACGTATTCTGCAAGTATATATGAAGTATATATTTTAAAATTATAATCCAAGCAAAAAAAAAAAAAATAATTTTCTTAGAACTAGCCTCTCTCTCTCTCTCTCTCCCTTTGTTTTTCTCTCTCTATACAGGCCATGCCGAATTCGTAACGTAAGTCAATCGCGTGACTGAAAAATAGAAACTCGAGAAGTCCCTCGCGCTTTACGAGGCACAATTTGCCTAATAGCGCCAGGCTTGTGTGCGTTTAACGATCGCTATGTTTCTCGGTCCCGGTAGGTAAGCACCTATATTGGATGCTGCCACTGCTGCTGCTGCTGCTGGAAGGAACGTAGTATACACGCGCACTCGATAAACGATAACACGCGTGTCAGCAAATCGCGCTTAATGTATCAACACGCGAATCTGTTAATATTTTACATTCTCTCTATATATATTGCGTAAATTTGCTCTTCGTGTTAGCTAGAGGCTGTCGCTTTTGCCTTGCCTCATCTTCGGTCCACCTATTTGGATGAACGATATCCTCTTCCCTTCTTAAAAAGTCCACGAGATCCGATTTCTCGAAGAATATAGGTTTCATAAAATTCTTGATTAATTTTTTCGATATGTGGTTTATAATATAATATGCTTGTTGAAGTTTTATAAAATAGGCGAGAGTGTGGAAATATATGTAAGGTCGCGTGTTTACTCCGGGTATCAATTCGTTTAGTTACGTTACTGCACGAGAGACCGACTGCGACCTGTGTTTTAACTAATCAAGTTTGGCTCGCTCTGTACATTTCTCTCTCTACCTGAGAATCCTCGAGCCGTATCGTCCCACTTGACGTTTCGGTCTTAATTATTATTCCGTTTATTCTCTCTTTAATGCCAGCGATGAGGTGCACCTTGGAGGTCACCGAACCAAGGTGCAGACTCCACCGCATTCGTCCGGACGATTATCTAGTCATTTGGCGAATCATCTTTTTTTATGAAGTCGCCGTTTGTTCGCATCATCTCTGCCGGCAAAGATTATTTTCTTCTAGCTCTTTATATACACGGCGAATCACGCGTTTTATCAGACAGCTTTATCTCTCTTCTTTTACACGATCCTGTAGAATATAGTTGACAGTGCATGTTATTAGCGCTTATTATCCAGCGTATAATCATATCAATTTGTGCAATTGAGAGTAAGCAATTTTAATCTCTTTTTCAAGAGGGAATCTATGAAAATGATCTTTAATGTATATTTTAGGATTTTTATACTAAAAAGAAAATGATTTTCCACCACTGCATTAAAATTTAATATTCTTTGACAAATTTTTAAATTTTATTTAAGGACAATATAATATGAAAAGTCCATTCTTTTTAAAGTGATTCTCTTTTGAAAAGTGACGTAAATTTTTTATTATTAAAGACCTAATAATAAATAAAGAAATTAATTTTATTTTTAGAGACCTAATATTCTCTATTTATCATGTTTATTTCTCGATTACGTCGCGATGTAACAAAAAAATGATTCGTAATTAAAAACAACCGTTTCTCCGGTGATAGAATAATTTCGACACCGCGCATTCGCTGAATCGCGCGCACGATTAGCCGCGGAGAAATGCATTGCCCGAAATTACAACCATCCGGCTGGGGCATCGAGGATACGCGCAGAAGCGAGGAGGAAGGAAGAGCGCGATTGTCCTTGGCGGAAGGCAGCGATCTCTTGTGCTTTGCTGCAGGCTGTCGTCCGCCCACCAGACGGTCGGCGAGCCCTATGCTCCTCTTGTGGTCTCGCGGATCCTCTTCTCTCTCCCTCACGATCCTGGTAAAAGTAAGAGACGCAGTGAAAGATAGATGAAATCGACGAGCGAAGGAGGACGCGAAGGAAAGGCGCAGGAAGAAAGACGGGGCCCCAGCTCGCGAGGCTGCTCCCGAAGCAGACTTGGAGTCTGTCCGTGCGCGCGGGCCCTCCGATGGGAAAGAGAGTAAAAAAATAGCGGAGCTTTGAGACCACTGGATTGAGTCTGGGTCGTGAATCGAGGATTAATATTTCGCTCGCGGACGAATGGCTTCGATTAAAAGGTGGCGAAGGATATCGAAGGAATGGACGCACAAGGTAAACGCGAACGACCTATGAGAGAGAAGGGGGAAGACGCGGAAGTTACAATATAATTTACATTAAGTGCTCGCGCGCGTGATAATCGCACGTACCGATGTTGCTCTCGCCGGTAGCGGTAATCTACAATCGCGCGTGATTTCGCGGCGATGGAAATTTCCAATCTTTTCAGAGAACGTGTCAAATGCACGACGTTAAATCGCCGCCGGCGAATTAACGTTGATGCGCGCGTGGTTACGCGCGAATCGCGAATCATCGACGTGCTCGCTCGAGAAGCTTCATCATCGATGGACGAGTCTGCTGTACACTGACGTCATCAAAGATTGACGCGGGAGCGAGAACGGTTGAATATTCATTTTTGACGCACGTTACAAAATATGTCAAACTTGCAGGAATCGTTGATATCCACGCAGCCAGAAGCTTCATCGTCAATAATCCACGATCTTGACGTCACGCTCCGTGTCAACGTCAAGACGACGAAATTCAAGATAGCTGCAGGTATTGCTGACTCTTAAATGCGCCATAACTGTCAGCTCTTGTCATTTGAGAGCTAACGGTTTTATCATTCATAATCTATAATCTCGATGTTATCGCGAGAGAGAAAGAAAAATAGAGAGAGAAGCAACATCGATCGCTGTTAAAATACAGCTTGGGACCGCCTTGGTTACTTGTTTAACCACAGATATTAAAAATCCGATAAAGAAAAGGGATAGTTATTTTGAGATTGCAATAATTACAAAGTTATTTAACATTTAAAATTAAAAGGTCTTGAAACCACTAAGCCCCGTTGCAAATGCAAATAAATATCCAAGACTTACTTTTCAATTAATTTTAACTCTGGCTTTTACCTGAACTGAACTTTTATTTATCGCTCATTTGTCACAAGATACTTAATGCTGAGAGGATAAAACACAGTGGAGATGAGAGACGATCTCGCGCGGGGAATTCTTGCTAAAGAAAAATCGGGCCCGAATTTATCATAGGGTACACGACCGGAGGAGCGCATTAGCTGTGTGGTTACGCTTTGTAAATGTTTGACAGGGTCGGTTTTTTCGCGTAATTACACCGTGCCGGGGCATCCGCGATCACCACCGTCCCGGCTCGGTCGACGCGCGGCCAATTTATTTTCGCCGTCGTTGGAAATTAGCGACGACGTACACACGGGTCGCCCTCCTTCCTCACCCCTTTCCTCGGGCGGAGTTGTTCCGGCCGCGAGTCAAGGGAGATTTATCAAAAAGTGCGCACCTCTCGCGGTATATTTTTAAGATAGAGCCTATAAACCCCGTCCCCGTCCGTGTGTACAAGACGCATGGAATCGCATGTCGCGACGAAAATTTGTCGTTGCGCCAAAAACCGAAAGTGAACGTCCCGAGGCCCCCTAAAAATACGCGGGGAGCATCCTCCTCGGTCGCCGGTCCGTCGCACCATTTCCGTCGACTTTCTCGCGTTTTCGAGGAGAGCTTCATCTCCGGTGAATGATCCCTTTATGCGCGAAAAGACGATGGATGCTAGATATTTTATTGATGCAGGAAAATGCGTCGAACGTAAGTGCGCCTCTGTATTTTCACTATGCGGATAAAAAAACCATGATAAAATAACCTCTTTTCCTTCTAGCCCATCTGCTAAAACCGTTTTTGGATACCAACCAAAATCCATTATTCATTAGTACCAAGAAATTCCTATTAAAAGTTAAAATTTTTTTTATTTCATTTTCTTTTTCAATTCTTCGTTTGTTGCATATAATGATCTGCATAGTACAAAAAAATTATTTCAGTACTTAATTCAATGTAACTTTTTTTGTAAAAAAATTAAATATAGAAGTTAATTTTGATATGGACACGCTCATTAGTTTAAAGTGTACTTTAAAATTATCACTTTTTTTCCTACGAAAATCGTCTGCAGACAGTTTCCCAGAAACTAAGGAAAATACCTGATATAATCATTCGACGAAAACTGCGCAGTTTGGACACTTGAGCCAAATCCATTACTTTCCTCACACAATCTATTCCATTTTCCCTCTATCGTTATTACTTTAACGTAAACTTACACTTTCGTAATTTATTAGTTATTTCACTCTCGATGAATTTTTCAAAATTATATATACCTATCGTAACATCTCATCATCGCGAAATATTTTACGCTGATTCTTAATAAAGGAAAGAAATCGAACTTCATATAAAACTAAAAACAGATATAAAAAGATCATACGATCTCGCCGTATCTGGTGCACTTTTTCAAGGCGGATCAGCGGTTCTCGGCGCAGTCGTGATTATTATAAAAAGCAAGTTCATTGTTCCGACCTCTTTCTCCGTCAATCCGCTACGTTTCTATCGTACTTTCCTCGGGCAATAAATACGCATTTGCCGTCAGTATCGGGCCGCCCCGCCTTGCAGCTGATTTGTTCGTCGTGCTCTTATTGCGCGATTACTAATCGTGCAACAAGAAAGTAATGTAAACACCCCGATAACGTTAATTTATAGTAACCGCGGCCGTTCGCTGCCGATCGGGGATAATTTATGCAACGGCGCATTTATACTCACCGTGTGTGTATGTCGCCATGTGTGTACGTATGCGTGCGAGACCCACAAAGAGAGTCGACTATCGTTTCGATAAGGAGGCGATCGTGGCCAATAAAATCAACAAAGACCGTTCGTTCTACCGACACGGAGCGTAATAGTTTTCGCGTACATCCGCGCGATAAATTCTGGAATCGTACGGAGAAAGAGATAGAGATAGAGAGGGAGAGAGAAAGAGGAAAACATGTAGATGCCCACGGAAAATTGAATCTTCGAATGGTTTCTAATACAAGTCTCTTTCGAATAGTTTCTTATATGATTTATGACGCTTCTGAAATATGTTATCTCGCTGTGTATACATATTTTTAGGTATGCTTACATAAGTTTATGACACGCCGGCAATGTTTTTAGATGCCGAATATTGCTGATAAGATTGCTGTCTAATGCATTTCCTTAATTCTTCTCTCTCTTTCTCTTTTTCTTTTTTATCATTCTAAAAAACAACATTCTAACTCAAATTATACAATTAAATAAAACTATAATGCCTATAAATGCATCGAATTTACGATTGATATTAATTGAGTTACCGTCGTACCAAAGAAAAGTTAGATTAATACGCGGCAATTAATGTCAACGGTTTTATTGCCTAGTTTTCAAATTATATTACGCGCGTAATCTAATAGAGAGAGAGAGAGAGAGAGAGAGAAAGAGTGAGCGCGAAAAGACGATGGATGCTAGATATTTTATTGATGCAGGAAAATGCGTCGAACGTAAGTGCGCCTCTGTATTTTCACTATGCGGATAAAAAAACCATGATAAAATAACCTCTTTTCCTTCTAACAAAATAAAGTTTGTATCAACGTATTAATATTGATTATTATGAACGTCGAGAAGCATATCGATTTTTCATAATAAATATTTCACATAAAATTTTGTCAAAATTTTTGAAATTTAAACATAATTCGTGCAAATGTTTATTCATGAAAAATTATAAATATAAATTAACGACAAATTTTGAAATTTATTTATAACTATTAACTGAATAAATAAATAAATTCAGGATCTTCTTCGAAAGGATGGTTATTGTTTAGTAAAAGTTTATTTTTATTTAAAACAATCGGATCTTTGATTGCACAATTACTTTTGCTAGCAACTCGCAGAGACGACGATCGCGAAGCGTGGTGGAGAACGCAAGCTGATTGTCTCCAGCAATGTGTTTCGCGGCTGCATATCGCGCGCGATGTCGTAAAAAAATAGCGGAGCTTTGAGACCACTGGATTGAGTCTGGGTCGTGAATCGAGGATTAATATTGAGCTGACGCGAGAGCGCGGTTCGATTTCGCTCGCGGACGAATGGCTTCGATTAAAATGTGGCGAAGGACATCGAAGGAATGGACGCACAAGGTAAACGCGAACGGATCGCTGGCTTATTAATTAGTTGGCGCAATAGGTCGAATCGTGTCATGCTCATTGTCGTTCGATGGAGAGAGAGAGAGAGAGAAAGAGAGAGAGAGAGAGAGAGAGAAAGAGTGAGTTAGCTAAAATAATTGATTAACATTGAGGAATTATTAACGAAAAGACAAGAGAGACGAGAGTCTCGGGAATTTAGATGGTCTCTCTGGAACGTTTAAATCACTTAATCTACAAACTATCAGCAATTAACGAGTCGCGGGACAACACGGAGGCGCAATTTAGAGTTAAGATGGCGATACACGAGAAATGCGTGGAGGGAAAACGGCGCATCGATAGTTTTACGACATGCGCGTAGCAGCTTATCATTTCATCGGATCGTCGACGAGATTCTCTTTCTCTCTCCCTCTCTCTTTTTCTTTCTCTCTCTTTTTCTACGTGCCCGCGGCGAGATTACTTTTCTTAGATCCACGAGCCCTTGTCCCGCTCCCCCTGGACCAGAACTGTAGGTATCCTATACGCGACGACGTCCGGCCAGCCTGCCTCCTCGAGAACTGGTTTCGGTGCTCGTAAACGTGGCTGCACCAAAACTCTTTGCCCGCGCGCTTGAATCTTATCGGGGGCGCATAAATCTCCCCGGCGATTTTGTCCGTTTCATTCGTACCAAACAGAATCCCTTTTTCTCTCAACTTCGCATCTGCGTGTCTAGATTTTCTTTTTCGAATTCGCAGGCAATAAGAGCCGATTGCGTTAGGATATGTAGCTTAGATTAATTTAACTT